CCAAATTGTATTGATTAAAAATGGTGGTCAGGTGTATGGTTCTGAGTGCTTTAAAAGAAGAGCACATGGGAGTCTGTCTGTCTCTTCTTTCTCTGCTTCCAGCATCTTGCAATGTGAGACCCCTGGGTCACTGTTGCCACCACCAGATTGACATTGTACTTTCTAGCCTCAGAAACTATAAGCAATAAATTTCATTTTTCTTAAAAACAAAAAAGGAGAAGTCAAAGAATTACAAATCTACATGGAGCAAAGAAATGTTGAAATTAACTCACCAATGGATGCACGATTGGCTTTTTCTGCCACTGATGGAGAGAAATCAATTGAACCTCCAGCAGACAGAATATATTTTCAGGTCTGCAGAAAAGAATTATTTATTTAGTCGTCTACGAATACAAAATTGTAAAATAACCCAAAGACAATGACAGGCACCAAGCTTATAAATCAAATACCTTGGAAGGGTATGCTCTAAATAATGCATCATTTTCCATCAGAGACACCAGTAATGTCCTTTGCTTGTTCAAAGCCTTACATTTTCCATACGTCCCAGTTCCCATTAAGTATTCCTTGCACTTCCCAGTTACATGGGCCCACCAATTCCTTGCTTATTTAAGCAATTGTGAGCTGGTGCTGTCAGTGACAGCTGAGGCAGCAGGGAAACCCGAGTCCTTTTTCATCCCGTCCTTGGAGACTGCGATGGCTCAGACCGTGCGACTCATGGCGCTCGCCCATCTCTCATTACTGAGGGGAAAGTTTGTCATCCTCCTTGAAACTGTCCCTATTACACTCCCAGGACCCCTTCCTCTCCCAGACCCGCACCTCTAGCTCCTTAGTTGGAGGCTTCCCTGACCTGTTTCCTACCTGCAAGGGAGGGTTCTCTGGGCGTCTGACCCTCTCATGAGAACACCTAGAGCCAGGCCAGGAGGGAAGCAGGCAAGACCTTCCTCAGCTGGACCACCCAGACAGAGCCCCAGGGTGGGATCTCCAGGGACATCACGTGCACACTTGCTAGCTGGGCTTCACCTTGCTTGGGGCCACCATGCTGAACGCAGACGGTCTGGCTGGGGTCACTCTTCTGAGCACGTGGCTCCCTGCCCAAGGTGGTGAGCGGCCTAGTTCCAGGGATGCCAGCATGAAGAACATCGTGTTTCTCTGTTTCTAAATAAAGAGCCACTGTCCTCCTCCCCATCTTGCCTGCCAGCCAGCAGCCAGCCAAGCTCAGCAGGCCCCTCTCCCCTGGGCGTGCTAGAACCACAGGGCTTCTGAGTCTGGTGAGATGGAAGGTGCTCTGGTCTTCAGTCCTTGGGAGTTGCCATCAGGGCTGGTGCTGACGCAAACTGGGGGACTTGAGTCGGGGGGGGGGGGTGTCCAAAGGCTGGGAATTCAGGGAACTAGAGGGATTAGGGCCTGGGGACAGGGACTGAGAGCATGGCAGATGGGGACTAGGTACTGGGTAACTGGAGATGAAGGTCTGGGGGTTGGTCTGGGACTGAGTGAAATAAGGTTCCTGAGAAAACTGCAAACTGGGAACCAGGCTGGACACACCAGGAGGACGGCGGACCCTGGGGACCCAAGTGTGAGGAATGTTAGTTCCAGGCACAGCTGGATTCAGGTGATCCCAGGATGTCGACAGGTTACTGCCCTCTCCACCTCTCAGCTGTGCCTGACTCTGGGGTGCCTTTGTTCTCAGGTTGTCTCCCTGAGCACTCTGAGTAGTTTTCATAGCTCTCAAGACTGACACCCGTCAGGCAGATCTCTCAGTGGCCTCTGATTTATTCCACAGTGGCCATTGCCCAAAAGGTCAATCACCATGGGGCAGGAGGGTGGGCACCGTGACTGGAGGACGGGCCACACCCAGCCACAGGGTGGTCGGGGAGGGCAGGTATGCTGTGGCCTCCAAGGCCCCTGGACGCTCCCTGGAAGCCAGTTCTCAGAGCAGAGGAAGCCAAGTTGCCTCATGGAGGCGGACAGCAAGTTTCCCAAGATGGGATGGGGCTGGCCAGAGGCGCTGGCTCCAGAATTACTGATCACCTGCACACATTCCCTGGCCAGGGACTTAGCTGCTCCCCACACCCCCACTTTCTGACATCACAGAAAGTGGGAGGTACCTTTGAATTCCACGGTGTCCCATGGTGTCGAGGGAGCCCCTTAAGGACCTTTGCCCTGTGTCCCCAAGTCAGGCAATGGGGTTTCTGAGCAAATCAAGGGATGCGACTGTTCTTTCACCCAGGTGTCCTCACACCTGCTGTTGCACCAGGACCCACACTGCCTGGGTGCTACAGCAGGCCGAGGACCACAGGACTGAAGAAACACAAAGGCCCTACCTCCCATTACTCAACCAAAGCCAGGTGAGCCTTGCACCAGTGCTCATGGGATCAGTCTCAGGTGAGATGGCCACACACCCGGGAGAGGAGGCTGCATGTGGCAGGCCACACTGTGTCTGGCCCTTCTCTGGTTTTGTGGAACCAAGAGGACATTCCCTTGTGGGACAGGGAGCAGTGGGCCTGTGGCTCAGACCTTGCCATGCAGGGGATTCCCCTCTGGGGATGGGCAGATGCCCAAGGTCCTGCCTCAGTGGCTACCTTCCCTGTGGGGTCTCCCCCAAACTCCTCCAGCTCCAGGTCTGAGACACCCCCTTGGGCCTCTGGCCACCTGCTATCCAGCTGGAGGTGTGAGTGTCCTGACCTGGTGAGCCCAAAATGGTGGGCTATCCTGCCTCCTGAGGGACACCCCTGGGCTTGGGGGGACCGGCCTCAGGCCTGGGCTCAGCCCTGGACAGCCATGGGTGAGTGGCTCTCAGGGACTTGGCCCTGCACCATCTTCCTCTTGTCATTTTGCCACCTGCCCCATTTCCTATGGGGCATGAACAGGAAGCCCCTGGACTTTGAAGGGCAGTGGCCTCCTCAGATTGCCCACCTCTAGCCCCCACCCCTGGGCTCAGGACCACCTGCCCCCTTCTCTCCAGGAGGCAGCGTGTGCCTCACAGGATCAGGCTTGTGCCTCTGTGGCTCTCAGCCCGGCCACCTCACACAAACACCCACATGAGTGCAGAGCAGAGGCTCCTCAAGCGCCTCAGTCATTGCCTGATGGGAGAGAAGACAGGAAGGAGCTGGGAGGAGGCTCCAGCAGCCCGCAGCCCCGGATGGACAGGGCATAAGGGCACAGTGTTGTGGGGCATGAGACCGGGAGCCCTGATGCCATAGCCAGGCCACCAGCTCCACCACCTCCTCCTCTCTCAGCATCTCTCTCCATTCACCACCACAGCAACTCCCAAAGCTCACCCCCAACCTGCCAGCCCCCACCCCGTAAAGCCCTTCAGGACCCACCCATCCCTCAAAGGGAAAGAGCCTCATCAAGCTGCCCCTGCCCTGTCCCTCCTCAGGTGGCCAGAGCCCAGGGAGGCTAGGGCCTGGCCAGCGGCCTCCATGCTCAGGCCTGGGCCGTGTCTGGGCCACCTGGGAACCGGCCGTCCCCCCACCCCACCCCATGCTTGAGGGAGCTCAGACCAGAGGCTCTGGAGGTCAAGGCCCCGGAGGCCTTCCTGGCCACGGAGCTCTCCTGCTCAGCTGGTCCTGCCACAACGGGGAGGGGAGGGGAGTTGAAGAGGGAGGAAGACCAGACCCTTCAGAGGCCCACGTGAGGCCAAGTCAAGGACAGAAAGCTTCTGAAGTTTAGAAAGGGCATCCAGAGACCAGAGGAGACCAGAACAATCATGGGAAGGAGCTCGGGCAGCAGGGCAGGAACCTACCCCCCCCCCCCCCCCCCCCCCCCCCCCCCCCCCCCCC